AAAAATTAATATTAAGTTTATCATTAATATTATATGAATTATTTTAATTAAAGGGTTAATTAAATAAGTATTAAATTTTACTTTTTAATAACAATTAATGTTAAAAAATATTTTTAACATGTGTTTTATCAGTTAAAAAAATTTAAAAATAAATAAATTTTAATTATTAAAAATAAAAAATAAAAATTTTATATAAATATGATATGTGTAAATGAATCTCTATTAGTAAAGAAAACTTGTTAAACTATAGATGTTGAGTAAGGGTGGGGGGTAATTGAATAATTAATCACATATGGTAACATTAATGTAATTAATTACCTCATTGGAAAGTAAGAGGTATGGTGGTCCAGTCCAGATTTGGGAGCAATAAATTGGCTATTATTTGCAATTGAAGGGTCGTAAAGCAGATGCATGAGTTGTTTTAATATGACTGGGGGGGACGTTGGCGATGTGACGTCCCAGCGTGGGGGTTGTGTGTGCTTAACAGCAAGCAATGCACCTTTTCACCTTTTATTTGGTGCATTTATAATGTAGTCATCAGATTGAATAAGTAAACAAGTTTCATATCCTTGCTTAATTTACACGTTTAGATAAAATATGTAGATAAAAATGTAAATTATGTTTTTATTTATTTATTTAAGAATACAAATGTTTTAAGTTTTTAAATTATGAGGTAAATTTTTATTTTTTTATTTAATGATAAAAATCTTGTTATTTTTTTTATTTAAGAATAAAAGTTTATTATTTTTCTATTTAAATATACAAACTTTGTTTATTCTTATTAATATTATTATTTGTTACATTATTATTGTTATTTAATAAAATTTTAAATAAAAAAACACAAATTTTGTATTTTTATTTAAAAAAAGTAAAAATTTACTACTTAATTTAAATTTTTTAAAAGTTTATATCGTTAATTAAAAAAAAATACATATTTGTATATGCATCTTTTCTCTTACAAGCCTTTCATTTGTTTTCCTCAAATTATATAACTATATTATATTTATAGTTAAGGTGTTTTTATTTTTTTATTTTTTTATCAGCCAAGTAAAATAATATTAACAAATAGTAAAGAGGTACTCCAACCTATAAATACAAGCATAAAACTACATATCTCAATACTATTAGTTTAGACTCCCCCTAATAAACTAAACCATATGAATTAATCCAAAATGTGAAATAAGTGGCCTATCCCAAGCACCTTCTAGCCATCCTAATAGCTTGATCAGTAGAAAGATGCCAAACATCCTTTTGTAGATCCGGCCAAAAACATGCTTTCAGCCACAACAAAGATTTAAATTTAATCATCTCTATAATTTTATCTTGTGTTTCAGATTTTTCCATGAATACCATTTGATTGAAGGTGTTTTTATGTTAATTTTTGTACATCTCAAAACTAATTTTTTTAAAAATAATCTTAATGGTGTACCTTGACATTGGTTTAGTATATTCAAAAAAATTAATTTTCTTGAATTTTAACTTTAAAACTTGAATTTTAAAATTAATTTATAAGACGACACTAATTTACAAGTGGATCCAATGCTTGGCATTAACAATTTAGTTATTATTTTATTTTTCAATGAATCTTTGATACTATATCCATCATTCTATAGTTTAAATTGTATCAATATTGTATAAATTTTGAATAATTAAATGAATGACACTTTTTGATTATTATATAATTAAAGAGCTCTACTTATTTAATGATTTATATTTTTAACTTAATGTAATTTAAATTACAAAATACTCTTTTATTTTTCAATATATAGCTGAAAACTTAATTAGGAAAGATAAATACAAATTGGACCAATCCCCAAATATGAAGCTGAATGCAATTTTCTTAAAACAACAAATATGTTGAAGTTGAACGTCGCGTGTGTGGGTGTGTTTGTATGCCGACATAGAATGCCCTGGTTTCTGCGTGGAAAAGGTAACATGGCCGGCATCTTGGACTAGAATGCAACCTGCATTTGGTGGCATCCACCTTTTTTGGCACAAAACTAATACCACCTTCTATTCATAATTATATAAAAAGTACAAGCAAACAATGTCAGAAACTATTCATGCATTTCTTTAATTTTTTTGGAAGAAACCACCAAGATGATTCCAAGAAAGAAGAACGTGCGAATGACTTTTCTTTTTGGTAGGTAAAAAAATCTTATTTATTTGGAGTATAAAGTATATTTTTATGTTTTATAAAATATCTTTTTGTAACGTGTCGAAATTAAACGACCTTAATTTTTTTATATTTAAATTTAAGTCTTGATTTCCAACTTTAGTTCAAAATGTCATGTTTACGTTTCATCCATTTTTTAACTTTGTTCTAACATTAATGTAGTGTATTTTAAGGAATTAAAATTTTTTAAGTAATTAAAATTTTTTAAGTATTGGCTTAAGAACCAAACTTATCTTTGTATATTGCTATAGCAAAAGCTAGTTATTGTAATCTACATAATTATTAAAATATATACAAAACATTATTTTTTATATTAAAATTTATTTAATTATAATAAATTAATAATTTTTAATATTGTGTTTTGTGAAAAAAATGCTACCTGAAGGCAATAAGAAAGATATAAATAATTGCATTGCATACATATCATAAACTAAAAATAGATACAGAAAATTAAGATGTTTTAATATTAAAAATACCAAAATAATTAATTAAAATCATATAATGAATAAAGTATAATATAAATCTCACTTAAATTATGATTAAAATTAAACATCTTAATATTTGTAATATAAAAATATCTTAATTTTCACTTTTCTAAAACTCAAATCACCGTTTTATTTTCTTCGTTTCTTCTTTCCTACAACTGCTTACTCTCCAACTTATTAAGCATTGAAAGCTAATAGCATCATTTTCTCAATCCAATTTGCACTTAAAATTTTTTTTTTCCTAATTTTGACAAGAATAGTTTGCTCTTGTTGCCACGACATAACGTTCAACAATATGCAATTACCCAAACCATGTGCTTATCCAGCGAAAAAAGTGGTTCTCTAACTAGCTTGCCTTAATTTTGATGTAGAAGTTTGTGATTTAAGCTTCCACTCCTTTAATTAATGCTCTTGCTTTTTTCATTTGTCCACTCAACATTGAATTATTGATGCTTTACAGCTCGTCTTTAATTACCATACAGACGTAACAACTTAAATTTTTTTTTATATTGATGGTATAATATGAGGTAATTTTATTTTTATTTTTTATACTATTTCCCTCACATATTATGGAATTCGAAATTAAAATCTCTTATTTTTAACGAAAAAAAATTAACACTAAATTATTTAAATTGTTAACCGTAACAATTTTAAACTTTACTTAATAGACTAATTCAACTTCCTTTGTCCATATCTAAGATAAGTCATTTGATGGATGTGGTTATTGCTATTTTTTTTTTTAATAAAATCACATAAATAATAGTGATTGTGTTTGGTTTAATTAATTTTATTAATTTATAATTTTTTTTAGAGAGATGATTATGATTTTTAAAAGTAGTAGTTTATAGATTAATTTTAATTTGTTAAATAATATATATTAGTTATCTATCAATTAATAGTTACAATTATAAATTACTCTTAACAGTTAAACCAAATCAAATTAGTGTTTTTTAAGGCAATATTGTGTGATCTTAACAAAAACTTATGTGTTAATAACCATGCTCCCATATGATATTTATTGTTCTCTTGATAATAAATGAAGAATTTATTTACTCATTTGATATCGTTATCCACTTGTGGCATGATATAAGCCAAGTGTTTGAATACATTTTTAATAACTTACAGTTTGATGTTTTGTAGTTCAAAAATGCTATATGTTACAATGCTACATAGTATTTTAAACTATAATATGATGTGTCATTATATAATTAATTTATTTTATTTAAGAATCCACTTATGAAAATATATGAATTCATTTGTTTAATATTATATTATATTTATTTAATATCATGTCATAATTATAAATTTACAATTATACATGACATTGTAATTATAATACTTTTATTTGTAATCTAGATTATACCGGCCAAATTACAAAATACCAATTATTAGGGTTCGCCTCAGTATCAAAGAGCCTCTTATAATCCAATTGTAGGGTTCACTTTGATTATCAAAGAATCTCTTATCATCCAATTGATAGTATTTTACAATTTATGACCGTACAAAATTATATACCAACCATTAAAGGTGGGGGCTGCTCTATTATATATATATATATATAAATCCTTACTATTTAGTAATTAAAATTTTATTGTTAAGTGTACAAATTAGTTTTTTTTTTATTAACCTCTCAGTATTCAGTAATCACATTGGATCTTAACTAATTTGAAATTGAACTGTATTAAAACCCATTAAAAAAATGCTCTCTTAGTGCTTGTTTGTCCATTTACAATACTTGAATTTGAGACCTTATTTAAGGTGAACCAAACTTCTTTTATTCGAACTAACAAGTTATTGGTAAATCAGTTTGATTTTTTAACCTATTACTGACCTTCGGCTTGAATATACTAACCTCTAAAATTCGATGCAACAGTTAATTTGGTTTTAACAGTTGTAATTGTTAGCGATGTTGAAACATGAACTGGGCTTTAGGCCCACTGAGCTGCTGTCATTTTTCAACCAAAAGAAGTATAGAATGAAGACACAGCCTGAGGACCTGAGAGGCTGAGGCAGAATAGTCCACTTGGGATGGGATGACATTTCTTGTAATTTCGAAGACTACTAACATTCGGAAGTGGTTTTTGCCTTGTTGAACGTGAATATAGAGAAGTGTGCAGGTTTTGCAACATGAAAACACATTCTCTTCAAGCCCCACTAGTCTAAGTACAGACATCCAGTCTCCACACTACAACCGACTACCTCAGACAGTACATAGCTTAGATACCAGTGGTAGTGGCAGTGATGATGGTTTAACAAGCCCAATTTGTCTAAAAACAAACACATTTGCTAAAACCTCTGTTTCTGAGCCTAATTTCCTCTTTTCATGAGCGTCATATTTTGTTTGTCATTTAACTTTTTGACTATTGGACATCTCTCTGTTGCTTTTTGTCCTGGAAAAAGAAAAAACCCATTCCCCTAATCCCAAAACACCCCACCGGCCACTAAGCTAGGGTAAAGCCAAGAAGAAGTAAATTAAAAGAGCAAATGGGTTTTCTTCAAAAAAGCTTCTTGCTTTCTACTTTAGGCTCAATGGGCAGATCTCTCTCCTTAAGCCTTCATTTTGTTTCTTTTAAGTAAACCTGCTTTTTTGAAGTGGGTTTTTGGTTGAATTGTTTCCTTAATTTCTTCGATGTGAAGTAAACGGGTTTCTGTGAAAAACAAATGGGTTTGGATCTGTTAGAATATATATATATATTTTTGGCTAATCTGCTATATTAAATTGATTCTATACGTTGAAGATTTTCATTTCCTTTGCCTTTTTCCCCTTTCAATCCCGTGAATTTTGATACCCTTGGAGGAAAAATTGAGGTTTGTTGAGGGTCGTAGGCAGGATGATTCAATTGTTGTTCTTGGTTCTTTTCGCTGAGGGTGTTGTGGCATTCCTACTATTGGTGAAGATTGGGCCTCTTAGAGAGCTTGTGATAAAGAGTTTGGATCAGCTGAAGATGGGGAAGGGTCCGGCCACCGTCAAAACCATTGCCGGCACTATGTCTGTCATTCTCCTATCGAGCCTCATGAGCATTTTCAAGATCCAAAGTAAGGGTGCAAAGCTTGGTACAATGTCTCCCATGGATCAGGTCCTCTGGAGAACCCACTTGCTTGAGGCTTCACTCATGGGTACGCTCCTGTTCCTTGCTATAACCCCTTTAGTTTCTTTCTGTGCTATTTTAGTCTTCCTGCAGATTTTGATATTAATGTGCCTTGTTTGATTATTAGTTCTTCAGCTGCAATAGAAAGAAAAGTCATAACATTTTATAGGGGTTTATGAACATGCTTTTGTTCTGAGATTTTGATTTTAGATGCTGGAGTTGATTATAATGGTATTATATGGATTTTCTTTTTGAAGTTTCAGTTTTTTAAAATTTATTTTGTAGCTTCTATTGGCATTCTGTGGTTGAAATATGGAATGAATAATGGCATCTAGAGACGGGCTATGCATGACTAATTGATTTGAGGTGGTAAGAACTAAGAAGTATCAATGGTGGCTTATGCCTCAGCAAGTATGTCTTTGTGGACAATATATGCTTGTGTGTGTATGTCTTGGGTGGGGGAGGTAGAAGGGGATAAGTGATAGATAGATTGATTAATAATATGGATAAGCTTAAATGCAGTCCAAAGATGTTTACAAGAATGCATGGTAGGGAATCGAAAGAACAGACAATTAAGAAGAATGAAAATGACAGTATAAAGATCTAACTCCTAAATTTTAATCAATGAATGAGCTCCAGAAGGGGCCATGAAAACCCTAAAGATTGCAAAGGTAGAAACCAAGGAATTGAATTTCTAAAAATTGGAGGCAACCGTAGAGAATATATGTGGAGCTAATCTCATATCTTGTCCAGTATTTATACACATACATTTTCACTTATAACATATTACATATTCTACCACCTAGTCAAATTAGCACATAAATCACGAGTTTCAGACAATTTTCCATTTCTCTGATTAAACCATCTTCAACTCTTAGGGACTTATTTACCAATCATGCTTCTTGAATATTTGGGAAGCATCTGCACTGGCTTCTCTGTTAGAAATTTGACAGGGAATTTCTTAGAGGAAGCTGATGTCAGCTCAGCAAAGCCTTAGCCTTTCCCCTGGTTAGGCACACTGCATATGTTAATTTCTAAATTTTCAGATAAACTGTTTGTTACACTCGTTCATGAAGTCATTCATGCACTTTATATACTTGTGGTCTTACTCAACATCAACACTGGTACCATGGGTATGGAAAAGTAACTAGGTCTCTTCCTTCTGAAGATTGTGCTAAAAGAATGATCGGTTTAGATTGATTGAGGGGTTTTTGTTGGGGCATCTTTCCAAATGAACATTAAATTTACTGCTGCTCCTACTAGTGTCGCTTAAACTCCACAATTTTGAGCTAGTGTCAATGTCAGTCAGTGCATTCTTTCTACAGAAAACATGAGTTGTATATCTAATTTTGATTACCTAGAGCTAGAGGTCCTCATTTGTCATGGCTAAGTTTCAACTGAACTTGCTTACACGAAAATACAAAAGAACAAAATGGAAAATTCATGGACATCTGTATGTGTCTATCAGTCAAACATTTGTAATAGTTAAGCACCTACATCTTTGATGATAAAAAAAAGAAAGAAGAGGTATTTGTCTATCAGTCAGCATCGGGAATTGCTACTTGATGTGCTTATCTTCTCATATCTCTGCAACAATTGGATATAAAAGGTGGACAGAACATGTTTTCACTTGTGGGTAGAACTAGCAGTCAATTAGCAATTAGTTTTAAGTCTATAGTGGTAAGATAATGATTGTGTTTTAGGTCACTTGTGACTTCAATATATCTCCATGCTGAATGTTTGCTAAAACTAAAAATGATTATTGTGTCAGAATTTTAAGCTAAAAAGAATATATTGTAGGATATTGAATTGAGAAGATTGAATGGCCACTGTTTCTAGTTTTTAGTTCTTCTAAATCTCTTCCCAGCTTCATGAATATAGGCTAAAGGCAATATGAACTGACTCTCGGTCATCAATTGTCATGCGCTAAAATAGTATTGGGTGTCTGATGTTTGAAGTCAATGAATATTAATATTTGATCACATCTTTTCTGTGATAAACTGTGAATACCTGGTTCTTGGCTGTTCAACCACTGGTTACTAATTTAGTTCTATGCCTGAGCATTGAGTGAGTGATTAGTTTATGGTTGTTGGTAGAACAGTTATTTTACTTCTAGCAACTTAGCTGCAACTTGCATATTTGACTTCCAAAGTTATCTTGCAGGTTTTACCTTGTTTCTTGGATTCATAATTGATCGCATGCACCATTACCTCAGTAAACTCATTAAGCTGAGGAGTAGTGTTGGTTCTTCAAAAGAGGAAGTTGAACGGCTTCAGAAAGAGAAAGCAGAGAAAGAAGAGAAAGCTTCTAAGGAACTAAAGCGGCTGCAGGAAGAAGTTTCTACTCTGTCAGAGAATTTGAAGAAACTGAAGTTGGAATCTGAAGAGAAAGACAAAGTAATTGAAACAGCCGAAGCTCATGTTGCTGCCCTCCAGAAACAATCTGCTGATCTACTTCTGGAGTATGACCGCCTATTGGAAGACAACCAAAATCTTCAGAATCAAGCTGTAGGATACAGGAGCTGAGGAAATTTTGAAAAACCCCAAAATGTTTAGGAGATTGTCTGTCTTCGGTGACGCTGGAAAACAGTATCAAAAGCTGATGAAAATGTGATTGGTTTTTTACATGGTGATATTCTTCAAGAGGTGAAAGGTATCATTAAGTTGGGAAAGTAGATCTGTCCATGCGATGTGGAAAGTTTTGTAATTCTTCCTGAATCTAGAATTTTAGTTTTTTCATCTTTTGTGTTGCACCATTGTTGATACAAATGTTTGTTTCCATAGTAATTGAATTTATAATGCGCATGAAAACAGTTGTTTCTCATCTGCTATGATGTCCAAAGCATGCATTAAACTTGCATTGGATAAAAGAGTACTTCCAAGACACCCTAATCATATTAATCATGGACCTTTGTAGCATAATTATCATTAGCAACAGGAATTAGAAACCAGATACAGAATTTAGTCCATGACCTACGAAAAATAAGAACGTGCCCTGATGACAGGTTTGAACTTGAAACTTCAACAGTCTTCCACGGAAACAAAACATTTAAACATAAGAACCTGCATTTGAATGGAGAGATTTATCAACATTAAGCTAGTAATCATTTGTAACAATAGACATCTGCTGCTGTTTATTAATAACTAATAAGACTAACACGGAATGTAAAAGGATTTATAACCACTACATGATTAAGAGCCAAGAAATGAAGTTAGCACAGGAACACTAGTAATGGCATGGAAATTAGGTATCGTAACTGGTTGGAAATTTATTTGACCATATACATGCTAGATATATATGGAAGGGACGCCCCTTGAATTAGATCCAAAGTAAGAAGGCATACAGTACACTGTATTTAATAATACTTATATATACTTCCATGTTCATCCCTTTGTTTGGTAAAATCCAGCCAAACTCCAAAACATTGATCAAAATGCTATGTTGATGATCATATCTTGCAATCTACTTAACCTTCTCAAGCCTTGATAGAAGATCGAAATTTGAAACAATGGAAAACCAACCAGAAGGTTACAACCAACATAGTTCTAAATAAGATTGTAAAGGGATGTTCCTGAACATATTCCATTACATGGACATTGGATTCTGGACAAAATAGAGGGCGACTGCCGCTGCTTGAGTGATATGGCTCTTGGCTTGAAGTCAATCATGTAAAAACTGAGCAAAGTTACTCGGCAATTTCCAGAGTAGAATAAAGATTTTACCAAAGAGCAAAGCAGGGACGTATCAATGCATAAATTGACACAGAAGATGGTTAAATCTTAAGTTATAGACAAAATTCAATGAAGAGCATATGCCGGTTTTAGTAGCCATTCTTCAGATTCTTCCTGTCAAATCACCACCAGTAGCAGTTTGTAATTAAGGTTTTTGTTGAATACTCTTCATATTCCAGTAATGAAGAAACTGAGTAAGTTATCTCAGGCTTGGCAATACAGTCTGGAGAACAAAGATTTGTCCAAAAGGAACTTCTAACCAGGCTGTTTGATTTTATAATGTCAAGCAGGCAAGGAAGAAGTGGGGTGGGGGGACATATCAATGCATAAATCCAGCCAAAGTATTGTCAAATTTGATGTTGAAAACGAAACGAAATAATATACTGGTTATGGTAGCCACTCTTCAGACTGTTCAAATGAATCACCACAAGCAGCATTTTCTGATTAAGTATTTTGGTGTATTCTCTTCATATTCCACTAATGACAATGAAACTCGTTCTTTATGTTTGTTTTTCCAGCCTTTCTTGGTCCTTGTTTTGCAATTTTGGGAATAAGGATACTGTGCAAAAGCAAGTAATTATGGCTCCTGGACTTTGCCCATGGTTGTTACGTGGCCAGTTTCATCCTTGTAAGTATTGAATCTGCCTCTCATTTAGTAGGAAAATCCTTTGTCCACTATATATATTGGTCATAAAACAGCATTTAAGCTTGCCAACATCCACCCCAAGAGTTTTCATGCTCATTAGCATTGTTCCTGACCTACGTTTTAGAGGCCAAAGCAGGAGCAAGCCTCTCATCTTGATCATGCAATCTCATCTCATGATCCAATCTATCCAACATATGCAAAATAGCTCCATATTCGCTGTGGCTTTTATCTTCCATGAGAAAAGCATGGAGCTTTCCGTCAATATCCACTGCACTGTAGCCAGGTACTTTCTTTGTCCCTGTCTCTTTCATAGTCTTCCTTACACTAGCTACTTTATCCCACTTCCTTCCTATGGCAAAGAAGTTAGAAACCAGAGCATGGATGCCCAAGTCATCTGGATTCAACTCAAGAATCTTCTCTGCCACCATCTCTCCAATCATTGACTTCCCATGGTTATGGCAACCAGACAGGAGAGCAACCCAAATAGCCAGCCCTGGTTTAGTTTTCATGGAACCTATTAGTTCATAAGCCTCTACTGCTTCTCCAGCACGAGCCAAAAGATCAACCATACAAACATAGTGCTTTTCAATTGGTTGGATGTTATACTCACTAACCATGAGATTAAACCAGTGTCGACCTTCTTCCACCATTCCTGAGTGACCAAGAGCTGAGAAAAGAGCAGCAAAAGTTATGTGATCTGGTTTTAAGTTAGTTTTTGTCATCTGCAGAAAGATTGCTAGAGCCTCCTTGCCACGCCCATGCACTCCATAGCCAGAAATCATTGCATTCCAAGAGATTCTGTCTCTAGAATCTATTCTATCAAAAAGAGCTTGTGCATGAGAAAGTGCTCCACATTTTGCATACATATCAATTACTGTGGTCCCAGAAACTTGTTCAAAATCTACCCTTCTCACAATGTATCCATGTATAGATCTGCCCAGTTTCAATAAGCCAACTTGTGAACATGCTACAAGGGCACTCAGCAGAGAAGCCAGGTCAGGTTTAAACCCGGAACACTGCATCTCTACAAACAACTCAAGTGCATTTTGTGCAAAACCATTTTGGGCAAAACCAGAAATCAGTGCACCCCAAGAAATATTATTCTTCTGTGGCATCCTATAGAATACAATTGAAGCATACTCCAAATATCCATTCTTAGCATACATATCCACAAGGCTAGTCTGAGCAACAATATCCATAGGAAGATCTTTCCTTATCATATAGCCATGAACTGAAAGCCCCAATTTGGAGTCCCCAAGATTGGCACAAGCCTGAATCAATCCCAACATCAGAACTGTATCTCCTTCCATACCCTCCTTCTGCATCCGTTTATATACATCAATAGCCTCTCTCGGCCGACCACCCTGCACAAAACCTGTTACAATAGTAGTCCAACTAACAAGATCCCTCCTTGGCATCTTATTAAACACCAACATGGCCTCATCCATTTCCCCACACTTTACATACAAATTTAAAACAGATGACCCGACAAACACATCAAACTCATAACCAAAATTCACCGCTTGACCCCAAATTTCCTTCCCCATTTCCAAGTCCATCAAGCTCACACATGCCTTAATAGCAACAGTAAAAGTCGAGCTATCAGGTTTTACACCCTCCAACATCATTCGATGATAAAGACCCAGAACTTCATTTGGGAAATCCTTGCGAGAATACCCAATGATCATCACATTCCAAACGTCCACACCTCTTTGAGGCAATTTTTCGAACACCTTACGTGCTGAAAATAAATCCCCCAATCGTGCATACATTCTCAAAAGTTTTACACCACAGTTTCCATGATTTACGAGTCCAGTTACAATTATGAGACTGTGGCCTTTAGCTATCGATGTTTTGTCTTTGCAGGCCAATAGAAAACGAAGAAGACTTTTAGGCCATTGCCATCCCATCTGTAAAAAAGATCAATGGGCAGTGCTTAAGCACTGATTAAGTGACTAATCTAGAGGCTTAGCAAAGGAATGATTCCATGAAACAGATTTTACGGGAGTGGTCGGATTTTCTAAAGTTCACAACTTTGCGTCCAGAATTTCTAAATTTGACACCTTTGCGTCCAGAAAATCTGTAAAAAGGAAAAATAAAAATGCAGTCTTCGGGAATAGAACCCGCAGCCTTGATAAAAGTATAAAGCTATAAGCTTTACGAGAAAAATGGAAATGGAAAACAGTAAATTTTAAAGGGCTAGTGCCAATTGTCGTCCCTCTACTTTTGTTTTTGGTTCATGTCCATCTGTTTACTAATATTTTGTTCATAATCATCCCTTTACTTTGCAAAAAGTGGTCAATGTGGTCTCTCTAGTCTCTACTCCCCATTTTCTATTCGCTGTCATCCTTATATGGACATCATTGCTTGAGCAGTTGAGCTATTTGCTTTAACTATTAAATGCCCAACAGGTCAACCGTTAACTCATTTTTGCCTTTCGAATTTAGCAGAATACCCAAATTCACCCTTAAAGTATAGTGGCAAGGATGGATTCACTCTCAAACAAAAAACGGAGATAAATCCATCCACAAAGTTTTTTGATTTGGACAAATCACCCTAAATTTAACGTGTGACGTCATTTGACATTAGTAATTTGTTAATTCGTTAACGGATTGCTGACGTCAAATGATGTCAAATTAACAGATTGTTGATGTCAAATGACGTCACACGTTAAATTTAAGGTGATTTGTCCAAGTCGAAAACTTTGTGGGTGGATTTGTCCCCATTTTTTGTTCGATGGTGGATCTGTCTCTACCACTATACTTTGGGGGTGAATTTGGATATTTTGCCTTCCAATTTTGGACAAGTGCTGAAATAAAATCCCTCATCTCCCCACTTCAACTTCTCCTCTTATTCAACTGAAGGTTTCATATTTTCCTCAGTCCAAACGAAATCCTAAGTTGTGCTACTAAACTAGTTGTTCTTGTTTTTTTCTTTTGTTTTTATTTTTTGAACTTAAGGAATTGGTTGAGAAAGGAAAAGTAAGACTTGAGACTAAAACCCAAATTAATGTTTAAGTATATCATCTCAAATGAGTGATTATTAAACCACTAGATGTTGGACGTGCTAGTGAATTAGTTTAAGATGTAAAAGTTAGTGAAATGACTTAGTTGCTCTAAACCACATTCTTTAGGAGATTAATTTTGTAACCCTTTTTTATTGGAAAAAGAAAAAAAATTAAAATGTTTGGATATTAAAAATGTTAAGATATTTAATAATAATTATATTATTAATTTGATAAAATTAAAATTTATATTATATTTTATATATTTAATAATTATAATTAAATATCATGAAATTTTTAATACAAGGACATTTTGATTTTTTTTTTCCCTCTTTTCTTTCTCTCTTTTTAATTAATTTTCGTTATATGCTGCTGCTGATTGTAAACGATGCGATGTCTACGTGTTATCCAAGTGGGCTCCGCCAAAAATGGGAGTGGACCATTCAGTTTCAGCGATGACCCTGTTTGTTTGATGTAGTTTGTTAGAGTTTTTGATTTTTTGATTTTTGATTTTT